TACATGTATTCCATTACTCCCCAACACTGTTTATATTCACTTACGGTTGCTTTAGGGTTTCACTAGCTTAGCTTAGCTCGTAGCCAACTCGTTAGCAGCTTGGCCTCGTCACCTGTCCCTCCTGCACTTTCCTGCTCATTGTGTCAGATGTTTAGTTACTCCTTGGCCTCCTTTAGCAGTAATGATACTTGTAATAAATGTAGCCTATTTGCAGCTCTGGAGGCCAGGATTACTGAAATGGAGACTCGGCTTTGAACCCTTGAAAAATCTGTAGCTAGCAAGGCCCCTGTAGCCGGTGCAGCCGAAGATAGCGTAGGCCCCGCTAGCTGTCCCCTGGGAGACTGCCCCGGGCAGCCGGGGAAACTGGACGGCTGAGTGACGGTGAGGAGTAAGCGTAGTCTTAAATAAATAAATACATTTTTATTTATATAGCACCTTTCAAGACAGAATCACAAAGTGCTGAGAAAATAAAACAGGCAAAAAATTAACCAAAAGCAGTTTTTAAAAGGTGAGTTTTGAGTTGTTTTTTTAAAAACAGCTGCTGAGTCCACAGTTCTTAATGTTGGGGGGAGAGAGTCCACAGTCTCGGGGCCACAGTGGCAAAAGCTCTGTCACCCTCAGTCCTCCTCTTAGTATTTTTATAGCAAGTAAGCCCTGATCAGATGACCTCAAAGACCTGCTGGGGACATCGGGCTGTAGCAGATCAGAGATGTAGGCTGGTGCCAGTCCGTGCACAGCTCTGTAGGTCAAGACCAGGATCTTAAAATCGACTCTAAATTTAACAGGAAGCCAGTAACTGAGATAACAATGGTGTCACATGTGAGGACTTGCAGGATTTTGTCAAAAGCCTCGCTGCAGCGTTTTGCACAACCTGCAGACGATCCAGAGAACCTTTGCTTAGACACATAAACAGCGAATTACAATAATCCAAGCGTGACGAAATAAATGCGTGTATAGCAATCTCCAGTTCAGAGCGAGATAACATCGGGCTTAGCTTAGCCACATTTCTTAAATGATAAAAACATGACCGAACCAGAGATTTCACATTGAATGTGAGAGTCGGGTCAAAGGTGACACCTAAATCCCTGATAGAGGATTTAACATAGAGTGAGAGAGGACTGAGGGCTTTCACTATCTGCGACAGAAACCTATCAGGGGCGCATACGAGGACTTCGGTTTTCCCCTCGTTGAGTTGGAGGAAATTTGCAGCCATCCAACGTTTGATCGAATCTAAGCAATCATTCAGACGCTGAAGCTTAGATAAATCCTCCAGGTACACCACCAACCAGGTTGGTGGTGTACCTGGAGCTTCTGTTTTGGTTGGTGGTGACACCCGCCGGGGGTCAAACTCTGGTAATTGGTGATTCTGTTCTTAGACTTGTGAAGCTAGAGACATCGGCAACCATAGTCAGTTGTCTTCCAGGGGCCAGAGCAGGCGACACTGAAGGAAATGCTGCTGGCTAAGGGTAAACGTAGTAGTTAAACCTTTACTCAAAAAGCATCTCTAGACCCAGCAGTCTTAGCTAATTATAGGCCAATCTCCAACCTTCCTTTATATCAAACATCCTTGAAAGTGTAGTTGTCAAACAGCTAACAGATCATGTGCAGAGGAATGGTTTATTTGAAGAGTTTCAGTCAGGTTTCAGGACTCCAGTTTGTACATGTAAATGGAGAGTCCTCTTCACACACTGAGGATAATGTCTTTATCCTGTCTTC